CCAATCGTTTGATATCATTTGCTTTACTTTGAAACTCATTTTCACAACCACACAGTGATTTCAGTAACACTGCCCACTTTCAATACAGCACCGCTTAGAAGCTGACAAGTTTGGTGTCAGCCAAAAAACGAACACAGACTGAGATGTCAGTCAGCATCAAAAGAAAACTAAAATTAGGTGTTACAAAAATTTTTGTATTTGTTGGCCAGTTCTAAGTTTTTTTGACAGCTCAGCTGTCCTAAGATCCTGCAGTGGTGTGAAAATATGAGGCACGTGCAGGCAAGAAAACCTTTGTGTGTGCCCAGAGGGCAAGACTGAAGCAGGACAGTAGGAAACCCATTGGCATTAAGGACCTACCAAAAAAAATACAAAACCTTCCATCACAGGATGCAATTAACAGCAAGACACAAAGGTGCAGGAAAACAAACCTCATTATTTCCACCACTCACGGAAATACTTATTAATCTTCAAAACGTCTTCTATTCAAACAGAGAAACTTTCCATTCACAGTGGCCCGAGTGACTGATTCCTGAATGTCATTTATTTGAGGGCACCTTAATCAGAGCCAGGATACAACGCTGCACAAGTTTTCCTCTACCTTTATCTAGTCACAAGGGATATCCAAAAGCTTATTTAAGTCAGACACTTCTGTAGTCACTGTGTCCATGACATCCCACAAAAAAAGACCCAAAAATTTCTACAGTGCCACACATTATCCAACTATTGAAACCAGAACAAATGAAGCCAAGGAGACTGCCAGTATCCTGGGTAGGCAGTAACAGAGTCTAATGTGACAAACTACTTTCAGGCTTTTGAAATATAAGAAAGGAGGCATTTTTCTCACTTTCACTTGGATTTTTTTGATTCTAACCCAATTTCGGTTGATGGAAAAACTCTCATTAATCTCAGTCATGGAGGGTCTAGCCTTCCTAGCACTGCACAAACTATTACAGGAGCAGGGAATCTTATCCTTCTCTCCTCTAATCCTTATGAATCGGTTTCCATTACCAAAATCATCATCATAATCATCATTATCAGGGGGACCACTGAGATAAAACAAAGTTATTCACACCAGATTTCAAAATACTTCAGTGTACAGTCAGTAGCTCAAGTACATACCCAAAAGTTTAAGGTACTGAGTATGTCCAGCTCTCAAAGAAATCTGATGTTTCTGAAGAAATTTAGAGATAGAAAACTGTTGAGATCAAAGACAGTATCTTTATTTCCCAATCAGTGTCTTAAATTTTGCCTGCAGTTTACTAACTTTGGTCAGGTGCTGAACACGTTGTGGTTGCGTATTTTTGTGTTAGGGTTGGTTTTGTTTTGGTTAGGGGTTTTTTTGACTTGTTTGGTTTCTTTTTTAACAATTATCTATTACATGACAGTAAAAAAACGCCAGAGAGTTCTCTTCTCTAGCTACAAACAAAACAAGCATAATTTCTCTTTTACTTTTCTATTGACTATGTAAAAAAAAGTGCCACAAAATTTCAAGTCCATAAATTTGACTAATAAACACATAAAGACTGGGTCACAAGTTGGGTGACTGCAGAACGACAGACTGTGATTATTTGTCACAAATGTATTTTTTAATGTTACACACTTTATATTACATGTTACATTACATCACAAATGCTTTGGGTTTTCTTTCACTTCCCAAAGAATGTGGAGAAGGAGTCAGACACATCTTTCCTACTAAAAAACAGTACTGAAACCAATACAACTCCTCACATGAATATGCAGAGCAGGATTTAGACTGTACTCTTTCTGCCCTGTATGAATTATCCATCACGTTTCCATTGTACATTATTAAAGTGACTTGCTTTATCCTCCCAACCCCCCCATCTGTGCTGTAATTTATGGGAATTACGGTTAATGATCATTTGTGTTATGCTTAATCAGCATATCAATAATATGCTGGGCACACACTGAGTAGTTCTTCTTTCTTCCCCCTTTAATGAAACCTATAGAAATGGAGCTGGTATTTGACTGATTGGCATTACAAAAAGGTTGCCTAGGCAGGTGCTGGGGATGGTAGGACAGGATAGAGGCCTTGTGGCTGCTGCCAGTCAACAAAACCCACTATTATATTTTTTAATTCTGTTGCCTTGTTATCTAGAGGGGCTGATGCTTTGTACTTAGGGGTTTGAATGAGCTTGACCAGATCAGTGTTACTGAGGCCAAGGCTGTGGCTGTGTGGGATGGTTCAAGGAGAGATCACATTCTTACAGGGTGATACTACTAACCACAGTCTAAAACACAGGGTTCTTATGTGGGATACAGAAACTTTTGAATACAAATGAGCTACAAACCTTAACATGAATATTCAGGAATTTCTGGAAAGCTGTTATTATATATGCCCATGTTGAGGCTGACTTAAAAGAATAAAGAAGAACCCTTGAATGCTGAAAATGACAACCAATCAATTTGAGTCATTTTGCCAGAAATAAATTAATAGCATGTATTGATAGGATAAAATTATTAACCTAGTAAAAGGTTTAATAAACACTTCAGCTAAATTATTTTTTTAAAATTCTGTCACTCACCAGCCTTGCTATACAGACATTTATGAGAACACTGCTGCATGTTTGAGAGGAACTGGCACAACACCAATATTCTCATTTGTGAGTCACAGCCTCAAGTGCAGCTCTATTAGCTTTACCTTGTAAATCACCACCATGCTATTAGCAATCTTTCAATATGATGTGACATCTTTATTATAATGTTTTTCCACTGAAGTTTAAGTTCATATTTTAGTTAGCTCTGAGACAGACACAGCCATATTTACCAGGTTTAATTAATTGACTATAAATAAAGGGCTGTAGAAAGAAGGCGTCCCTTTCACACAGTGTTCAAGTTGTCACCATTTCAGAGCAAAATGCCAATTTGGACAGGATAAACATTACTATTTCTATGCTTTACATTTATATTTCAATATGTAAGCTTAAAATTTCACAGTATTTTGAAGACTACAGTTTAGAGACTCAGTTCTTTTACAAAAACAGTGACAGCATATGACCTATATTAATTTACTACTAGGCATTTTTTAACTAAGAATTTCCTTAACTTGTAAGAACATCAGTACAATTCCATGATTTACTCTGGTTTCAATATCCATGGATATTGCAGTAAACAGGAACAACATGTACAGCTACACACAAACAAGTTGTGCTGGATTTACCTGACAAAAGACTTGCAGGAGCTAAAAAAAAATTCCTTTGACAGATCTGGGGGCCCTTTTTGGTGGGGTAATGCAGCACATCTGTTTTTCTTATAGCCCCCAAGATACCCCGCATCATTCCCTACCAACTGCTTTAGGCATTCAAGGCAAGAGAGACACAGCTGCAGGGAGGGGAGCAGCAGATCTGCACAGCTGCAAGGAGCTGAGCAGAGCAGAAGAGTAAAGCAGAGGAGGGGGCATGGCAGCTGGGAGAGAAAAGGGGGGGGAAAGGCTTTGCAAGAAATAAAAAAAAAGGAAACAAGAAAAAAATACAAGTGAAGACAAAACAAAACAAAAAAACCCTGATGAGCCAGAAATTGCTGGAGAGTTCCTTCTTGGACATCCTGTTTAGAGATGTTTCTTATTGGGAAAAGTCAGCAGGAAAAGCCCCTGGAAAGAAACATGAACCCTCTTCCCACTTCTTCCCCACGAGAATGGAACAATTTTATTCAGAGACACAGAAAGAGGTCCATGTGTAAACTCAAAAAATAAACCAAACCTTCATCTTAAACACTGCTAAACACCTGCATAATACGTAATATCAAGAAGGCACAACCTCAATATTAACCACTGCGTCCCACAAGGCAGAGATGCAAAGGTACTGTTAACATCAATCTCTGTAAAAGCAAAAAGGTGAATTAAGAGATGACCAAAGCAAAAAAAAAAGCCCAAAATTTGCATGTTCTTAACCCTGTAGACAAACCAATGGGCAAATACCTACCAACACCAACATGGTTGGTTTGTAAAAAGGACAGTTGTTGGATTCTTGACTAGTGACAGTTTTCCCCAAGGATTTAGAAGAGGCAGTACTCTCTAAGAGAGGTTTACTCATTGGGTGGAAGACACAGGCAGACAGAGATGCATGAAAACTTAGAGGAGTTGTCATCCTAAAGGTGGAAAACTAAAATAAGGCTGCCATAGAGGACTTTAAGGGTGGGCACAAGTGACAAAACAGGAGGAGAATGTAGAATGAAAGTAAAGTAGAATATAGGAAGAGAAGAATGGTTTGTTCCTACACACAAATACACACACAGATTCCACAGAGACTTGAAGTTGTGGAGTGGCCAGATATCAGCACCACGAGACAGATAAGCACGATATTAAGTTATAAGGTTTTTTTTAAAAGAGACTGCTGGCAAAAGTTTTGTACAAATGATGGAGTTAGTTCAAACGCACAAATGTTCTAAGACTCTATATCTTCAAAGAGAATGTCCAGTTTCACAAGCTCTAGATACAAGGTAAACAAAAAAAAGCCCCAAACCAACCCTCTAGAACATTATTTAGACATTTCTTTGATAATATTTTAAGTAATAAGTAAAAGTACTTGAACAATTCAGCAACAATTCAGCATAAAAGTTACCAAATAAGTACTTACATCACCCACTTATGTCCACACATTTTTCACCTTCTGCTACTTCCATCTGAATAAATTAGGAAATAATACAATGAAGCAGACCCATTATACCTTTTAGGAATACATTTTACAGTAGAGGAAGCAATAGTACCTAAAGAGAGCTTTTTGTTGTTTTTGTTGTTCAAGGCACCTCTTGCTTTCATTGTGCTCCACTAAGAGTGAGCTCTTCCTGGAGTTTACACTGAGTGTGATGTATGTTGTAAAGAGAAGGCACCATGGCTATGTGAGCTCTCTACTGCAAGTTTAGAGACTATTTTTGAAACTCCAAAGAACCAGCATTACTGCAGTGTCCTCTGAAGAGGAAACAATGGTTAAACAGCACATTGGTCTGTAGCAGCACTTTTCCATTTCACAGTCTGGTGAACTCACCCCATGTGATGGGTAGGAGATCCAGCCCAGCTCCCCTTGAATTGTTTTTGAATCCAGAAGATTAACTACAAAAGAAGACAAAATGAAGAGCAATGAGTTTCCTTTGCCTCTGTCCAGTTAACCTCAGTTACCCAAACCAAGAGACATGTTTATTTGAGGACCTTGTGAGCATTGATTTGTTCAGGTGGCCTGGCAGTCAGCTACAGAGAAGAAAAAGACAGACAAATGAAAAAGATTGTCTTGTTTATCTTAAAACACAGTATGAACAGCAGACGGGGAACTTCTGAAAACAAAAAAAGTGACAAAAACCAAACAATGGATTGCTGGCTAAATTAATTACAGCAGGGGGTGGGAACTGAACTCTTCTATCAGCTGCACAAACTGCAGCCTTTTCCCCTTGGACGCCTGAAATTTGGGTCAATGCATCTAAACTACATTGGTGAGACCTGAATATTTTAATCATTATTTGATTAAAAGCCTGTATTTGACATATACAATTTTTCTGAGAACACAGGACTAAATAATGAATGCTGATTAAAGTCTTTCCTGCAGTTCTTTCTTCCTTCTGGTCTAATTTGTTCTTGAATTGTCTTGCAGTAGTGTTTTCTAAATGTCATGTGTAACACATTAGATATAAAAGTAATTATTTACAACGTTACAAGTTCAGACAAACCTACTTTTAAAGAGGGCCATGAATTAATTGCTAATCTTGCTGTCATGTCTTCTTTTTTTTTTTTTTTTTGAGGTCTGGAACAATTTTCAGGATAAGAAAGATCTTATTTGTAAACAGTATGACAGACATTTTCCAGTCAATCAAATCACAGTGAGTTTATACCCATTTTAAAATAAATACATACATCCAAATTAAAGGATATTCTTCTTTGTCATTTACTTATTTGTTTTTTACAAGCAAAAAAGTCAATTCTGTTCCTTATCTTGGCCATATAGTCTCCAAGTGCTTAATCACACAGTTCTTTAACCAACTTTTTCTTTATTAAAATGAAGTAGAACAGGTGAATTGATACAAAGCACTATACAAAAAAAATAACCTCTATATAAATACAAACCAATCAACTATTAGTACACAACATGAAAATGCTGTTTGCAGCTGCACCAATCTGTGCTCCTTCAATATTTATTATCTCTGATCTGGGTTTACTTTTGTTGGGTGTGTTCACTCTCCTCCACATCCCCTTTAATTTTTTTTCCTTCAATATGGAAATTAGTGATAATAAGAAATGAAATAAATCTAATCTTATGCTAGGGAATTTTAACACCTGAGAACAATGGATCTGTTAGAGGTGGCCACCGTAGCAGTCTGAGCAGCTTCAGCTTCTGTTTGTTAGCCTGAAGGGTTGTCACTGCTCCCAGAACCAGATGGCCTGGGCATTGATACTCCAAGAAAATAGAAGAATAGGATAAAAAAAAAAAGGGGGAAATTATCTATGAATCTGCTAAGTTAAGCTATTTGTATTATTTCATTATTATCCTTTTAACTGCTGTTTAATTTTGGACAGCATTTAAAAAAAAAAAAGCTATGAAAGCATTATTTTTACTGTTAATTAGGATGTACAGGAGGAGACACAGTAAGGAAAACAGGTGTACAGTATTAGAAATAACACCATGTTACAAACAACCATAAATATACATATTTTCTACTTTTGTGTGCACACATTTTTGTCGTCTACATGTGTATGTGCAGTGCTATAATATATGAATGAGCTGCTCTGCCATCTATGTGGGAAATGTTTCCCCCTGCAGTTATACACCCCTTTAAAAAAAACCAACAGTACTGCAAATTTTTACCTACATCAATATACAATATAACTTTACTATTCCTACAGGAAGAACACAATCCAGTAGTATATATTTCTTAGCTCTGAATTTATCAGTAAGTCAGTTCTCAATCACCTACATAAAGAAAAATCAGTCAGTCCTTTATTGAGTGCAAAGGGCCCTAGGCAGACTATTCTGGAGCAAGGTTTGCACCTCCAAAAAGGAAACACTAATAAAAATTCAAAAGGAAAATTGCACTTCTCAGGTTTGTGAGTACAAATTCCCACAGATTACGGATCTCCTGGAATAAGACAGATATGTTTGTTGTGCCTCTGCAATACAGGGTGGTGAAGCAAGCATGACTTCTGAGGTAAATTACTTGTCAATAAGCTGCTAAGGCAAATCACTCAGGAGTAAACTTAAGTAATATATTTATTCCTTAAGAATGAGCTTCTTGAAAACATGATTGCAGCCACTCTGAAGCTGATGAATTCAGTCCAAATTCATCGGTCACATCTGGAAAAAATAAACAGGCAACAGGCTCACAACCTGGTGGTAGTTTCCCCCTCTAGACTTGCCAAGCAGCTCCAGCTCGCCCTTGAGGTGGAGATGATCAGCATTCAGCATCTCTCTCTGTGCCACCTCTGTAACGGTCAGCTCCCTTCTGTCTCTCAGAGCAGACTTACCAGGTGAGCAGGAATTCCTGCAAGAAGCACTCAGAGGAATTAGAAAACTTGGAACCACAAGGCAAGCTAGTTTTCCATGCTCAAAAACGTTTCACTACATTTTAGAAATCCTTAGAAGGCAAGTTTTCACACTGACTTACAGTAGCTTCTAGTTCAGATGTGTGTACTGTTCTTTACTAGTATCTAAAATGTAAAACACATTTCCTTTCAGGTAGTAGCCTGATGAAAAAAGGTCTTCCTTTCTCTGAAAAAAGCTTATGTGACACTCATTTTCCTTTGACTTCAAGGAAGAGTTGCACACCTTGATTGAGAGCAAACAATTAATGCAGAACTTACAAGCTGCAATAATGCTGGTCCCTAGCCAAAAATGATAGGGAGAGGCAACAGTACATTGATTTTGTCATTGTATGTCCTAACATTGCATATTAATATGAAAATTGAAGGGGAAAACAGAAGAAGGAGAAACATTGAAGGAACAGAATAGGAAGGGTTTGCATACTATGTCCCAAAAACAAAGCTAATAACTTGTATTTCTATTAGTGCTTCCCAGAAAGGAGTGAAGAGGCAGCTTTACAAGTCAGGCCACATGTGTTGCCGTGGAATTTTGGTGCTGAAAAAATCTCCAGAGCAGTTAATTAGGGGTGAGATAAGAAAGGGTTTATTTTGCCAAGGCTAAGATGTTACAAGACACGCGAAGGCCGTGCCTGAGATGTTACATTTTATAACACCATCCATCCAATCCCGGATGTGTCCACCCTGTGGCCTTTACTCTGGTCCACCCCGGGTCCACCCCCTGAGAATTGAGTCGGGGGGCTTTCGGGACCCCCTGTTCATCCCATCTTCATCTCCCTCAGAGCACAAAGGGTTACCTAATTCTTGACCGTGTTCTGTGGTTTAGGCCCTGATATGCTGTTCTGCCAACAATCTAGGCCTTGCCTTGACAAAAGACTAAACATTTCTACTGGTTTCAGGAGTAGGATTGATACAGGGAGCATAGAATGGGGTAAGAGGGCTAAGGAATGTGTAAACAAGGGTGCTAGAGAGAAAGGGAAAGGGACAAGGGACAAAGGAGGGAGGGTTGCTGCCTTCAAAATCCACTTATAAAACTTATAAGGCTTACCAGTATTAGAAAAATAAAAAACCATTAGGGGCTTAAGGCATCACATGAAAGGGAATCAAGATTTCCAGGCTCTTTCTGAGGTTTATAGATTTCTCACACAACTCATTTGCTCTCCTCTTTTACCTCCTTCTCCTGCAAAACTGTGTCTCTCAGCTCCCACAGAAATCCCTGTGGTTTACCAGCTGGTTACTAAGGGTAACTCTTAAACCAGCTGAACAGTTTTATTGCTACTGATGATACTTTCTGAGAGAATGCCTTGAAAAGGATTACTGGTTATGCTAAGGAGACACAGAGGAGCTCTCTTTTAAATAAATAAATAAAGTGCTGTCTAACAATCTCAGTGTCCTGCATTGGTTCCCATCTTGTAATTAACTCACTTTAAAACTAGTGGTAATTCTGAGGGAAAATTTACTGGTATTAAAATACTTCAGTGCTATTAAATTTGAGCAATCATGATTTCTTACTCTAAAAATCAGTGCCTTGGTCCTCCTGTACAACAGTCTTGCTCACCCTACTGTACAATGCAGCTATTTCTGCCAAGTTGCAGCACACAGGCAAAGTGCCAGTTAAGAACATTTCTTCTTAAAAACAAATTTGTTCTCTAAAAAGAGAATATTTGTTCTCTTTTTAGAAACTCTCTCCTGTTTGATTCTTCTGGCCATGTACAATTGCAAGAGAAAGCATTATCAGTTCTCTCAAGGTGGATTTCTGCCTAGGGAGGGTAAAAACGACTCTCTTTCCAACAAGTGGAGGAGGGATGTGGATGCAAAATGCAAAGCTCCCTCATTCTCCTTCTCATGGTATCAAGCAGAAGATGAATGAGTGCTTGGGTGGAATTTGACACACAGGCCCACTCATGCTACCTGAAACTGCTTCCAGACTGAAAACTGAGGCTCACTAACAGCAGGTTTCATCAGGAGTAATGTCAGTGACAGAAAAAGAACAGTAACACAAGATTCCTGAATAGAGTTTGAAAGCAGTAGCATTTCCAGAAATACTTGGAGTAACAACTGCTACAATGAACTGAACTCAGTACAAACACCTTCCTCAAGAAACAAAATTAAACAAACGAATGTTGTGCCAGGTAGAACCACACCCCAAAATCCCTTTCACTGTCTAAAAAATGAGGAGGAAAGCCTGCTAGGAGACATTATCTTGCAACTTGCAATATCTAAAGTACTGTCTACAAACAACTTCACCACTGGAAAGCATTTCCAAATCACATTCTATACCAAGAAACTACAGAGCAACAGACAATGACGTAAGATACACAAAATATTTTTTCTTCAACTAATTAACATTTCCCATTAGAAGTTAAAAAAACCCCAAGACACAAGAAACCGCCATCATTTCATCTTTTCCTGTTTGGCATCAAACTGTCAGTTTAGAAATGCACTAGTCAGTTATTAAGAAAATGCCAACAAATGGGAAAAAATAAATTTGCTGGGCAACCTAAAAAATAAATTTTAAAAAATGGTGAGTG